GGTCCAAGAGATTTTGAGATATGACTCCGGACGGACACACGGACGGACGGAGACCGAATTATAAGTCCCCGTTTTCGGACTTCGTCTGAACGGGGACTAAAAAGTGTATTTCATTGCATAAAATTCATGATTGGTACAGTAGTTTGTTTTTTTTTGCTTTTACGGGAAAACTCGCATTAATTTCAGAGTGCATGGCAGGCGAACGTACAAAACATGGTTTGCACCTTTTTCTATTCTGTTATTCACTCAGGGTTGCGTTGAAAAAATTACTTCGTCAATAATCAGGAAACTTCGTCTGTACGACACAGCATTTTGATTGGTTAAGGAAAGATATTACTTGTTAGGTCAAGAGAAGTTTGCTCAGGTCAAATCATGATGAAAAACATCATGGTGGAAATTGCTTTGTATTGAGAGTTTGCATACGATCGAAAATATTCCACAACGAAGATAATGATAAAGATCTTGCCTTCGACTGTTTTCCCACAGACCCTACCCATTTTTGCACTGTAAATTCAGACAGTATGTAAACCGAGGTCCATATGTAGTATCTATATATGTAATAATATCAAAGAAACTGGACTTGCAGTTTTTAACAAGAAGTTGAAAATATCACTTTTTACCAAAAATATTCACCAAAATTAGAGAATTGAAGATATCATCAGGAAATGAACAAATCTACCGTAAGAGAGGTCTACCCCAGGTACATAAACATCAAGTATCAAAGCATTCAGGCTTGTAGTTTTCAAGAAGAAGTTGAAAAAGTAAAACATTGACACGGACGACGACGGACAATCACTCATATGATAAGCTCTGCGGAGCTAATAAAATGTGTGTATTTTTATGAACATGTTTGTTTCTTCTTTGTAAAAAGTGTCATGGAAATCAATGACGACTTGTTTCACATTTTTGTCCTCAAAAAGACGCAATATTTCTCCAAGACCGGCATAGTGAACGATAAATGTAATTTGGATAATTTTTCGTGGTTGGGAAGATGGTTATAATTTTTAACCCACTTTAAATCCAGCACAAGGGTGAATAACGATGCACTAAATATGCAATAAAGAGACACTGCTGAGTAAATCTATTGCCATGGCAACCCCAAGGTTGCTGAAATATGGTCAACTGGCAAACTAAGACTACTACTAAAACACAACAATGAAAACACAAACTAAAACCCCTGCATGAAGAAAGTTATCCTTTCTGAGGTCGTCCTCGAGTATAAGCCCACCCCCTAATTTTCCCCATGTTTTACATGTTCAGGCCCCTGGGCTTGTACTCAGGGAAGTACGGTAAAGGTGTAGGCATGAGATATCTAGTTAAATTTTTTTCAAGGGCATCATGACACTTATGTGCCAATTAAAAAAATGATTAATGATGAGTACCGTATTAGAATACATGTATTGGACAAATGAAAAGGCTTGGCTAATACCTGAATAGTTCACAGCAGTAAGGCACAAGGGCATAATGAAATGATATCTACGTCTGGTTAAATGCAACTTCAGCCGTATATTAGCCGGCTGGCATCAGGTGTTGTCCACTAGCATACATATAAAGACACAATGGCATTGGAAATAAAATAGCTGTAAACAATAAATAGCATCTTACCAGAAGGAGGAGGTTTAGCTATTTCAAACAACACCGTGCCCGAGTCCATGTCACGAATTTTGAACCTTGTAAAATCTATATCGAATGAATTTGCATCAGGTTCACACAAATAATCTGAAATGAAAAAAAACAAAAATGAGAGATGCATAGCAAACAAAGCATACTATTTCACAGTAGTTTTAATTTTAACTTCTGTTGAAGGATGAACATTACTACAAATGTAACATTATATTATACAAAATTTTACAACGTCACTCTCACTGAAAATTTTGAATCAGGATTAGGTTGAGAATTTTAGAGTCTAGATTTGAACAGTTCCTTAATTTGAAATGGCAAACTTTTCTTTTCTATTTGCATTGCAAAATGTGCTCATGAAATAACTCGGCAAAATATCTAAAATATACATTATTTTGTGACTATAGTCCTCAAGATTAAATTAAACCATAAGTAGCTTTAATACATATATTTGTAAGCAGACACACACTGATTTAATACGCAATTTTGTCATTTGTTGATGAGAAAAGTAGTGTATGAATTCAAGCAAGCAATAGGTATGCTAACATGCCATACAATTTGCATTCAATGCAATGTACATGATTGACATGTTGTGATGAGCCACTGGTTAAAGTAGTGAATTCAGTGCAACCTCAGTACAACTATGTATAAGGGTTCAAGGTTATAGGTACACCCCATCTTACTACATGTTGCCAGAGATTGCAGGGTTTGAACATAAAAAATTATTTTATCAATCCAACATGAACAGTCATTTTTATACGATATGGCCAAAATTAACTATAAATCAGGTACATGTACGTCGTACCTTATTTCACCTGTTGACAGTTCACAAAATATCATTTTTATGTGATTAACATTTTACTAGAAAATACTTACCGCGGTACATCCACATGCAACAATTAAGTGCAGTAGAAGAAATCATGTTGCATAACAAAATAATTATCAATTACTGTCAGTAGTTTGTCAAATTTTTAAATATCAGGTTTTATGAGAAAATAAACAATGGATTATGAACTGACATAGGTAGTGAAATGTCGTCCATTACTGATATTTCTGATATTTCATGGTTTAAAGCGAGGGAGTTATCACCTGCGCATATGACAGAGGGCCATATCATGCCATTGTTACAAATGTACCTGCACATGAGCCCTTGTGTTTTAGCATGGATTGTTATTGCTAAGGGACTCCATTCCCGCACATAACCCTCCCACTTTAACAATATTCAATAATACAGTTTCAGTATATTGCGCAAAGGGTCAATTTGGGTAAACTACACTTCACCTCTAAAAAATGTTTTATTTGTGGGAACTTAGTTTCTCAATCATATGTATGAATGAAGCTCTGTGCAAAAATAAAAGAAAATTTCAATGTCTTCAGGAATCATTTGTATACACTTGTGGAAGGGTTTTCACATCACATGTGTATTAGCGTGATGCAAACAATTATTATTTTAATACCATTTGTAAAAAATGTTGTTCTCAAGCCCAATTATTGCCCCCAATTTTTCAAAAAAGGACAATATTTTTTATATTTGAAGTTTTATGTTCAACAAGTTGAGTCGGTTTATTTAAAACAAATGATCAGAACCCAGATAAAAATATATGGTCACCAAAACTATTTTTCTGCACAAGAAACCTTCATGAAAATAGTGATTTTTTAGCAATCTACTAAAGGTTTTTATGGTAACTTCTCATCATCTGAAAATTTGGTTACATATGGTAAATAATTCATGTGGTTACAAGATGGATACTTATAGTTTTTAGAAAATTTTAAGAATTATTAGAAAATCTGGATAAATATTTTCAGAATAAAAATACTTTCAAATTTGAAAAACAATTTTTTGCATTATTTCAGGCAGTTTTTTTGTAAAAAAAAATCCTGAAAAGTTGATGCGTCAAAATCAATTATGTAACACCTTTGAAACAAGAAATTGTACTAAATTTGTTGTCCCTATTTATTCAGTTGAATACCAATGATATACATTTTTGTACCTTAAATACACAACATAAATAAAGAACTTCCAAACGAGGTCGATGACCCCTTTATTTTATTTTTATGACCCCATTGCGAATTGATCATAATAGAATAATCTCCCAGAACACAACAAGAAAGTACAATATTTAAAGTATTTCTATCAGCCATCAGACAGCAGCATGCTATTTATATCTAAGCTAAACAATTCCCTCACAAAAAAAATAGTTGAGCTGAGTCAACCACATTACATTACATTATTTGATAAATCCAGTATCCTTACCACCCACAACACCCAAGTTTTTTGGAAATTTTGTTTACATAAATAATCAAATAGACATGAAGAATAATATGAAAATAGTTAGGATCAGCTAATAGCATAATCTGTAAGCAACACTGACACTTCACTGCCTCAGAATGAATATGTATTTGTAGCTGCTGCCATTGACAGCTGAAAATAGCCACTTTGTTGTCAACAAGATGCGCTTTTTAGAGGATGTTACAGCAGACCATAGCGGCTGTCAAATTATCACTCAGTACAATAATGAATTATATATACATTGAGTGCTACATATTTTACTTCACAGGTTATAGAAAGAATATGACATACCACATATTTAACAGTTTATATTACAAGGATGGAAATATAAAATATGGGGTAACCGTACAGAGTTCAGGAAAAAAATATGTACATAATGGTATGAAAATGGCATGATTTATCCTATGGCAAGGATATATCTGTTTTGTGACATGTGGTAAAAAAATAGTGTCCTACAATGTACTTGTCTAGAAGGATTTAAAAATTCTGTTATTTTTTGCAGGTTTTTAATAAAGAAATGTGTTTTCATTGTGATCTATGGAAAACACTGCTAAATTGTCATTTTGTGTATAAAACTTTTTTTTT